TGTGGAGCTACAGCGGGGAGCAGAAGCTACAGCAGAGCCCACCGCCCGACGCGATACCGCCCTGAAACAGTTTGAGCAGAAATAGCCAATCTGGGCAAATCTAGCAACTTGTCTAGCTCCTCGCTGCAGCATCCGATGACGATGACACGCATATGCTCGCGAAGCTGCTGATGAGACCTTCAATTTGCACCGCTTCTTGGAATAGCCCGTCCCCTACTTGCCAAGAAATGGCAAGAGGCGTCTGGACCCGAAATTTCAATTTTTTTGGCTCTCGCTCTCAATCAGATGCTACGCTCTCAATCAGGCGAATATGTTGTTACTAGTGCCGTTAACTCCAACTCGTCGTCACACAAAAGAGCCTCTCTTTACCATGCCCTCCTGCGGTACTCTGCCTTCGATAAATTAATGCGAGAAGAGTTCAGAACTCTCGTCCCTCTGTGTACACACGTACTAGCGCTATCCACCAGGCCAGGAGCGGAAGCGAGAGAAGAACTCACTTTGCAAGTAAAGCTCGCTTACGCCAGGACTCGAACCACTGACTTGACCTCTAGAAGGTCTCCAGGTATCCAACTAGGCCACTGGGGCGACCGGGTACGCAGCGTGTATGTATATGGACAGGCCGGCCAGTTTTTACCGGCTGCTGACAGCCCTTTCGGCTGTCCTTTCCGGGGTACGAGGCGTGTTCGTATCGACCCCCACAAACAACCGAATCGGTGACGCTTATTACCCGACTGGTCAAAAAATTAAACCGGTGCGTTATTGCATATTCTTATCATCATGTGACCGTAAAAAAACGTTTCTTGGCGCTTAATGCACGCCTTGTTTGGCGCACAACAACAGGTAAAATCGACTTTGCTCATCATAGAGCGGTGGTACACAGCCACAGAGGACAACACACTTAGGCGGGTGTGGGAAGCGTTCCCCGTTCTCCTTTTTTTTTATTTTGATCGGTCTCCTCGACGCTCTTTCTCGTTTGGTGCGGTAGCTGGTCGTTCTTTCTATCATTTTGTTTTTCTTCCGAGTGGTTTTTGTACCTTATTTTTTTCTGTTTCTTCCTGGGGTCGTGAATGCCGGGTTTTGAGACCACGGGCTCCCAATCTTTCTTTTTTAGAGCTAATGTGAGAAACAACAACAACAACAACAACTTGGAAAGACCCTGTCCACCCGGCCTGCTGTGTCCAGCACGGACAGGGGGCAGGGAGCAGTGTCCCAAACTGGGTGGTGTTTGCGATTTCCTTCTTCAGTGCTCGCGCTCATTTTGCCCGTGGTGACCCAAGTGTCACATAATTTTTTTACCACTCAGGCTGAGTCTTGACGGCGTGAATATTTTGGAGATTTTTTCTTCTCTCGGTCGGGGGGGGGTGGCCTGCACGGCTAAAATGATCAAGATCCAAACGACCGTCTTACGGTGTCAGCGATATTTCGCTGTGCACTAGCAGCAGTACGATGCTGCTGCAGATGCCAGGAGGCTGTGTAGCCTATCTCAGAGGTTCACACTCTGTGCGTCTCCAACCGCGAGAGACTTGGAATGGAAATATGAAGATGCTTTTATTAGTTGCTGACTCCCGAGTCAGATGTTGCTGGTACTGAAGAGGAGTGAGAGAGGTGGGCGAGCTTTGGACTGCACCACTCTTCTCGAATACCGGACAAATAAGCCAATCACACGAAAGATCCAGAATGCTTCCAGAATGATTTCTGGAAGCCCTCCTACATTTTGGAAGAGTATCAACTGCAACCTAGATCTAGAACGCTTCCAGAAGCTTACAGAAGGAACCAGAAGTTTCCAGAAGGCTTCCAAAAGCTACACACGTTCTACGTAGATGTCCCGGTCAACCTTGATCTAGCATGCTTCCGGAATATTTCTAGAACAAGAGAATACATGCCACGGAGAGATGGATTCTTTTCTACTGCTACGCAGACTAGCTGCTGCAATCGTATTCAAAGGTCAAACCGTGTCCGACTACTGGTGGTCTCGACGCACGATTTTTCCTGACACGACCCCTCGATCAAGCAACTAATTCACAATGGTCGACGGCATCACCATATCCTTGTCTACCTCGACCCCTCCGTTGGCACCGTATCGAAACCAAATTCCTTCTGGTATGGAAGCAAGCTTCACAGATCTTCGATCTACACGAGAAGTCAGTCGTTGATCTGCTGAACGATGGAGGCGAATCGGTGCTTTGGGAGGTACTTGGTCGCGATATCAGCCAACTGGTGCTCGCTGGACCGGTGGTGAAGAGTGATTTGTCCTCGCAGTACTAGCTCCCGGATGAAAAAGTACCTCAGGGCCACGTGCTTCGTGCGTTGAGAGTGCATGACATTCCCGGCCACTGTCAGCGCTCCGGTGCTGTCGCTGTTGATGGGAACCGATCCGAAGGTCTTGAAGTTGAGTTCCGTCATAAAATTTGAGATGTAGACCGCCTCTCTGGCTGAGTAGCTAAGTGCTTGAATCTCGGCTTCGACCGTGCTTTGCGCGGTTAGAGTTTGAGTCTTCGCACCGTAGCTGATGAGTCCTCCAGCCAGAAAGAAGAGATATCCCGTGGTAAATCTTCCGTTGTCGGGGTTTGCTCCGAAGGATGAATCCGTGAACGTCGCTAGCCGAAACTGTCCTCTCTTGTAGACGATAGGAACAACTGTATCACCCCGAAGGTATCACAGAACGTGCTTGGCTGCTGTCATGTTCACCTGCGCTGGGTTGCTGCAGGCCTTGGAAAGTTGTAGGGCGGCGTAGGAGAGGTCGAATCGCGTGCACTGGGCCAGGTAGAGGATGCTTCCTGTCATCGACTGGTAGATTTTATTGTCCGTGGGACCTAGGATTTGGTCCTGAGGTTGATTCGTGGAGATTTCCGCTCCGTATCCAGGAGTGCTCACTGGGTTGGCCTCTTGCATTCCGAACCGCTCCAGAAGTGTGTTCACGTAGTGCTCCTGTGAAATGGCCAGGGTTCCTTGCTCGTAGTCCCGCTGCACGTCGATCCCGAGGATCCGCTTTACCTCTCCCATGTCGGTCATCTCGAATCGATCCGTGAGCTCCTTCTTCTTCTGGTCCACGAGCTGCTGGTCTCCTCCTGTGATGAGAATGTCGTCTACGTAGACCGTGAGAATCACGATGATGTTGCCGCTGGTATACACGTACACGCAGGGGTCGGATTGAGTCCTTTTCCATCCGAACACCGTGAGGGATTCGTCTAGGGTGTCGTTCAAGAGTGCCGGTGACTGTGATAGGCCGTAGAGGCTCCGTTCTAGTTTGTACACCATGGGTTCTCCCGTCGCGGAGTTCTTGGCGGATGTACCGGGGGCGGGTCTGACGTACACATNTGTACCGGGGGCGGGTCTGACGTACACATCTCTGTCGCAGAGGGCGTTCAGGAAGGCACCGACAACGTCCAGTTGGTAGATGGGCCAGTTGTTGTGGCAGCCAGTGGCGCACGTCATGCGAATGCTCCCGATACGGCATACTGGTGCGTAGCTGTGTCCGTAGTCCTGTCCTGGCTCTTGACGATGTCCTCCGACTACCAGGCGAGCTTTGAAGCGTCCTTCCAGCTTTTTCTTGAAGACGAATTTCGTTCCGAGGATCTTCTCTCCGTTGGGAACGCTGCTGAAGGGCACCAGATTGTAGACGTTGTGTTTCCGCAGATTGTCCATTTCCTTGCTGCACGCTCCTTTCCATTCTTCGC